GTGTAATATATATCCAAAAATGTCCCTGTGGATTGTGAGTCCCACAGGTCCTTGGGAATCTGTTGCTCCCCGGGTTGTTGTGCCCAGGGGAGGAAGGGCCCCTCAAGGTTCAGCACGGACTGCTTTACAAATGGGTGCTCCTCAAGGTGCACTGGCCCCAGGAGGCGGACACTCCAAGCTAACCAGAGGCCACTGTCTGACTCTGGCCTGCAGCTCTAACGCACAAGAGGAGTTCAGAGATGGGCGGGGAAGGATTTCCTCCAGACCTGCCCTAGCTCCTGGGAGGGACAGCAACTCAAATGAGGAAGGAAGGACCCTCAGAGCCCCAAATAGCAGGCAAAGCCCTGTGGGTGACCAGTGTGCTCAGCGCACTCTGTATAGGGTGGGACAGGATGTGCACTGAGAGGAGACTGACCTGTGACCTTTAACTTTGAGAGAGGCAGACAGCTGCTCAGAAAAGTCTAAGGCAGCTCTTGGGCATTTGCACCTAGCCCCTGGCTCCCACTATGCTCTCTACCTTGGACCTCTGTGAAGGGCCTCCAGCCCTCATTCAGGCTGTTCAGAGCTCTGCAATCACACCTTCCCTGCTGTGATGGACACAATGAGCCTTCCCTTCCTTAAGCTGTCAGGTATTTTGGTAATAGAAATGAATGTAACTGATCCAGGGAGATTAGAAAAGGCTACACCTCGAGAAGATAATGATGGGGGCCCAGGCAGGTGAAGTTAGAAGATGCTAGATCCTTGGAACCATGGAAGGAGAAACACCTTGAGTCCACACAGAGTAAATGTAATCTTTTTAAAACTTTTTATTTATGGAGCTGGAGAGACGGCTCCAAGGTTAAGAGCACTGGCAACTCTTCCTAGAGGTCCTGAGTTCAATTCCCAGCAACTTTATGGTGGCTCACAACCATCTATAATAGGATCTGGTGCCCTCTTATGACCTTCAGGCACACATGCAGACAGAATACTGTATACATAACATAATAAATAAGTAAATAAACCTTTTTTTGTTTTTTTGAGACAGGGTTTCTCTGTATCGTTTTGGAGGCTGTCCTGGAACTCGCTCTGTAGACCAGGCTGGCCTCGAACTCACAGAGATGCTCCTGCCTCTGCCTCCCCAGTACTGGGATTAAAGGCGTACGCCACCAACATCCAGCAAGTAAATAAGTCTTAAAACTTTTAAACTAATTAGTTTCTGTGTGTGTAACCTTGGGGAGTTCTCTCTGCCATGAAGGTAACTCGGGGTATCAGGCTTGGTGGCAAGCAGGGACCCACCTTGCCAGCCTTCTCTTTCTTTCTTTAAAAGCAGGGCCTCATACTATAATCCACACTGTGTTGGAATTTTCTGTGTAGTCCAGGCTGACCTCCAGTTCTTGCCTCAGCCTATCAAATGCTGAGATTATTAGTGTGAACCACTAACACTTGGATACTGTGTGGACTGCTACTTTTTATTTGTATATGAATGTGTGTGTGTGCTTGAGAGAGAGTTGTGTGTGTGAAATGTCAGCATGTGCATACTTGTGGACACGGGGGACAATGTGTGTGAAATGTCAGCATGTGCACACTTGGGGACACGGGGGACAATGTGTGTGAAATGTCAGCATGTGCACACTTGTGGACACGGGGGACAATGTGTGTGAAATGTCAGCATGTGCACACTTGTGGACACGGGGGACAACCGGGTCAGTCTTTACCTACCACCTTGTTTGAGAAGTCATGTATGCCAGGCTAGCCCACCCATGAGCATCTGAGGTTTATCCCTTCTCTGACTCCTATCTCACCACAGGAACGCTGGTACTGCAGGCCCATGATACCGCATCTGTCTTTTCTGTGGCTTCTAGGGATTCAGACTTGGATCTTCATAATTACACAGCCAGGGCTTTACTCCCTGAGTCATCTCACTAGCCTCTATGCACAACACTTTTCTGATTTGGGAAGATGTGATTCTAAGACAACAGACTCAGTAGTCTGTTGTAATTTGATTATTTGGGAAGCTCTCAGGCTTTGCCAATCTTAGAAGCCATTGGCAGGAAATACACTGTTAGAAAAGTTTGCTCTTGAGAGAAGGCTGGGTGTGGCTAGCAACAGACCCGTGGATGGGGGAAGAGATGGGCCGACGTGGGAGGCCACAAGAAGTGGGGAGGGAGTAGACTCAATCCTCAGAACCCACAGTACAGGGGAGCCAGCATGGTGTCTGGAGGGGGACCCGTGGGCTGTCTCAGGCTGACTAAGGCCGAGCATCAAGGGCACCTGGGGCTGTAGGTCCCACTCCCTGTCCTGAGGAACCTCTGGGTCCTGTGTCCTCTGCCTGTCTAACAAACCAATACAGAAAGTTACACCCTGGTCTACAGAGCAAGTTCCAGAATTGGCTCCATAGCTACTGGGAAACCCTGTCCTGAAAAAAATAAAAAGTTATACCCTGTGAACCATGGGGGATAGTAGTCACTCTGACCTCATCCCTGTCCCCAGGAACTCACTCCCTGATATGACTTCCTGAGAAGAACTCAAAGAAGCACAGCAGCTGGGCCAAGGCCAAGATCTCAGTGGCCGAGGTCAGCATGGCTCTCCTCTGTTCCTAGCGACATCTAGGATTCCTGAGATACACTAATCTAGGAACATCTTAAGCAGATTAGACCCAGGTGGGGTTTCAGAGCAGCTAGGGTTCTCCGGGTTTATGACCACAAAAAGCCCAAGTGTGAACTACACATGGCAGTGCACTTGGTGAACTGAGGCAGGGGGATGGTCACAAGTTTGAAGGTGGTCTGGGCTACTTACTAAGTTTAGTGTCAGCTGGAATTACACATTGAGACTTGGTGTCAAACTAACTAAAGAATAGCTGGTGTGGTTGGTGAGCATGCCCATATTCCAGGGGTAGGGTGGGGGAAGAAGGAGATGGAGACGGGAGGATCAAAGTCACCTTTGGCTACGGGGAATCTGAGTCCAGCCTGGGCTATGTGGAATCCTGCTCCAGAGAAAAGGGGTTGTGGAGACCTAGTAGAGTCCTTGGGGAAGAGCACACACACCAGGAATCAACGGATAGGCAGGAGGGGTTGTGTGTCGTGCGCCTGGAAGAGTCAGCCGTCAGAACTGGCCCAGGGTCCTACGCTAGGCCAGCTCCCCTCCTACTCTTAATTTTGACCTTTTTGTTTTGTAGACCCAGAACTCTGCCCCAGTTCACACTCTATAGAGTTCCACTGGTTGCTTAGTCCCTGATTTTTCAGAGTCTAGAATATTCTACCTGCCTAGCTCCTTTGAGATTCTGGGGTCTGTCTTTCCTGACTGAAAACTCTGAGGGCTCCTCTGTTCACACCAGTCTTCCTGATCCTCATTTGTCACCAAAGACTCAAGAGTGCCTTTTATTTATATATTGGTTTGTTTTTTTAAGACAAAGATCTTGAAAAGTAGCCTTGGCTTGCCTCAAACTCCCTTGAAGATCAGGCTGGCCCAGAGATCCCCCTACCTCTGCCCCCAAGTGTTGGGCTTAAAGGGGTGAGCCATCACACCTGGTTTTCCAGGGTACCTTTTAAACTAAAATGTATATTAAATTGCAAAGTCTGTTTTGTGCTGTTGGAGCTAGAACCTGGGGCCTCCCACGTATTAGGTAAACCCTTCCCCACTGAGCTACACCCCCATTTCGTGGATACCCTTTTCAGATCACAGAAGGTAGAAAGGGTGGATTCCCTAGGGCTGAGATTGAAGGGGCTGAGAGGCCATTGGCACCTCAAAAGCAACAGGATCTGGTGGCCACATGGTCCCTTCACTTCTGGCTCTTTCATCATCCGGGGACCGGAGGGGACAGATTCTAGTGGTGTCGTTTTCCTTGAATGGGGTCAGGGGTGAGGCTGCATCCTACTTATGTGCTTAGGATCCTGTCCTCCTAGGTCATCCTTCCCTCAGGGCTAACCACCCCAGAGCTCAGGGGTAGGGTGGGAGGCCAGGAGCAGCAAATGGGTCCTTTCAGTCCTGAGCAGGGCCAGGGGACTGCAGCCTCAGGTCAGATGTTTGGGTGCAGCTCTTAAGTGAGCCACCTCAGCGGGGACACAGTAGAGCCCCGAGATCCTCACAGGGGGTCAGTGAGGAAACGTCTTCCCTCAGGAGTAGGCTCGAATCAGCTTGGGAGAGACTGAGACCCCTGTTGCTGGGCCGCCTGGTTCCCCTAATCAGAGAGAGCTTCTCAGGGACTACTAGAAGGCAATCTTGCCTTCTTATCCAAAGTAACTGGAGTCCTTAGGGCAGTGTGGGCCATCCTTTTCCCAGGGTCCCCCCAAGTGACCCCCCTGTCCTCTGAGGTAAGCTGGCACTGCAGTGGCAGCCTTTGGCTTTGAACGCAGCGACACAGGAGAGGGACGTCCCCCTGAGAGTTCACCTGCCATCCTATCAGCTCCTATAAATGACAGTGAGATCATGGGAAAGGGAAGGGTTCAGGGCATGGACACCCCCAGGCCAGTCTGGTGGACATCTCGCACCCTGTGCCAAGACCAAGTCTGAGCTTGACAGGATCAGAACAGGGTGTCCCATTCTTCCTTGTCCAGAATGTTCACCGTCGGCTGTCCCACCCTTCTCCAAACAAGGACACTGCACAGGGTCTGGTAGGTAGGACGTTTCTGGTTGTCAGCAGGTGTGGGCCCAGGGAGAGGCCTTTGCCACACACAACATCTTGAGTTTCTGATGAGCCAGGGTTCCTGGTGGGTCATAGGGGTCGGGAAACTGTCCAGATCTGAGCTGCTGACCCAGTCAGGGCCAACTAGACAAAGAGGGTACACACAGTGCCCTCTTGCCTGCCAGACTCCAGAACTCGGCCAATGTCCCTCCTGCCCCCCTCTCCTGAAACCCTTCCTGTCACTCAGCCTTGCACAATCCTGACCTGGGAGAGAAGGGACAGAAAACTTGCCAAGAATTTCAACAGGACATGCTGGTAATTACTTCATGCTTCCTGGACTTGGTAAAGGATGGACCTCCCCCGGCCCCCCCAACACTGGGGCTGGCAGCCAGGTGGCTGCTCATAAAGAGACTCCCTGGGGAGTCCTTCTCACTGTCTTCCTCCCCCTCTTACCCACTGGACCCAGTCCAGTCACCGCTGAAACCATGGCTCTGGGTGTCCTGTGTCTGGGTCTCACCCTGCTCGGGGTCCTGCAGAGTCAGGCCCAGAACTCCAACCAGCCATTGATCCCTGCCCCACTTGTGTTTAAGATCCCCCTGCAGCCAGGCTTCAAGAAGGATCAGGTAGGGACTTGGAAGGGCAGCTGCAGGAGGGTGTAGGGAAAATGGGGAGCAGATGGGAGGAGAAGCTAAAGGCTTCACAGGCAGCTTTGGGTAGGGTGGATGGAATTCCGGGAGTCCAGGGTTCGGGCTTTGCCCACCCCGAGTCCCAAAGGAAGCCACACCTCATTCTGCTCTGACAGTCACTCTGACAGAGCTTCACAGAACTGTACTGCCTCTCCTGCGATCTCCATTGTCCATGTAAGGTAGGAATCCCTTCTGTCACTCTGCATTGAGGACCATCCTGCCAACTCAGGGCTAACTCCACCTAGGGCCTTGTCCAGCCTTGAAGGAGCCCAACTCTTTCCAGTACCTGCAGACAGACGGAGGCTGAGGCCCTTCTGCCCTCCAGTTGCAGGGCCTGGAGGTACCAGAAGGGCCAGCGTGGGACAGGCAGCCAGCGGGGCCACCCCTGGCTCCACCTGTCATTAGCCCCTTGCAGTTTCAGGGGAGGTGGTACGTGGTGGGCCTGGCAGGCAACACAGTCCAGAAAGAAGAACAAGGCCGTTTTATGATGTACAGCACCATCTACCAGCTGCAAAACGACACCAACTACAATGTCACCTCCATCCTGCTCAGGTAAAGCCCTGTGGCCCCACGCGCCACAGCCAAGGACTTGGTCCATTTCTTGCTCTTTCCTCCCCTCCTATCAAATGGGGATGGACACGCAATCTATAGATAGCAGGACGGAGAAGGCTGGGAAAACGGCTCAGTCCGCAGCGTGTAAGCATGAGATTCTGAGTTCAGTCGCCCGAACCAGCATAAAGCATAAAGCCTGGGGGGGGGGTGTCTGGGACCAGGATCCCTAGGACTTACTGGGCTCCGTGAGAGACCTTGTCTCAAAAATAAGGTGAGGGGGCTAGGGAGACAGCTCAGCGGTTATGAGCACTGGCTGTTCTTCCAGAGAACCTGGGTTTGATTCCCAGCGTCCACATGGTAGCTTATAACTATCTGCGATTCTAGTTCTAAGGGGTCCAACATCCTCTCTCTGTCGATCTCTTTTTGTTTTTTTTTTTCAGGGCAGGGCTTCTCTTTGTAGTCCTGTCTATCCTTCCTGAAACTCACTCTATAGGCCAGCTGGCTTGAACTCATTTACACCCGCCTGCCTCTGCCTCCTGGGTGCTGGGATTAAAGGTGTGCACCAGCACTGCTCAGCCCGACATCCTCTTCTGACCTCCTCAGTCACCTGCATATGAACATTGCAGAGACATGTGCAACCATACATACACATAACAGGACCAAACCAGGGCTTTGCACTTGAAGGCGAGCACCTACCACTGAGCTAAGTCCATTGTCACAAATCTACAATTTTAATTTAAAAAAGTGAGGTGGAGAGTGATGGAGGAAGACACCAGATCTTGTTCTTAGGCAAGCGTGCATGTGTGTGTACGTGCGAGGGCGCGCGCAGGCACGTGCGCACACACTCACACAAGGCCTCCCGGGAAGTGACCTTAGAGGAACCACGATGCCTCAAAAGGAGGCCGAAGTGTGCCCAGCAGGAGCTGGTGGGCACTGTGTGTCAGATGCTGTGCCTTCAAGATGGGTGAATCAGCCGGGCATTGGTGGCGCACGCCTTTAATCCCAGCACTCGGGAGGCAGAGGCAGGTGGAACTTTGTAAGTTCAAGGCCAGCCTGGTATACAGAGTGAGTTCCAGAACTGTCAGGGCTACACAGAGAAACCCTATCTAAAAACAAAAAACAAACAAACAAAAAAAAAAAAAAACCAAGAAGATTGTGTGAATCGTTGGCCACCCGAGCAAGGGCTGACGGGCAACTAGAAGTCTCTGGGGCACCCACCCTATGCCAGGGCTTGGTCTGGGGCTCCTGCAGGGACGACCTCAGCTCAGCTGGAGCAAGGGAGCGTGGGGGAGGGCGTCAGCAGAGTGGGGAGAACAGGGCGGTGAAGCCTGGCAGTCAGTTGGGGAGGTGACGTTGGTGAGTGAGACCAGTGCCTGGAGGGGGCAGCTGGGCTCACCATCTGTGGGGCGATTCTGACTCTGCCAACCAGATAGGCTGGAGCTGGGGCAAAGGGTAGACAAAAGGCAGGTTTGGTGAGCTCAGCTATGGAGCACAGTGGGACTGGAGGAAAAGTCATATTTGGCCTAAGGGCTAGGAGTGTAGGGCTTAGCTCGGAAAGAGCTGCCTCAGCTGCCAAGGGGGGTGGGTGGCAGAGAGTGAACAGGGAGACAGAGTAGGGATTTTTGCATGGGGCCTGGATTGTGTGTGAGGGGGAGGCCACCCAGGAAAGGTACCGGGAGGAGGGACTATGGGTGCTGGAGGAAGGGGCTCATCAGGGTCAGACAGGGCAGACTGGTGGGGGATGGCCCACATGCATCTAAGTGGGTGGGTGGGGCCTCTCATGCCAGGTTTGGGAGCTGGCTGTTATCAGATGATTGGACAGGGGTGGGGACACCAGAATTCTAGCCCCAACTGCTCCAATCCAAGGGGCAGTCCAGCCTGTGTCACATGCCTTCCCACGCCTATCTCTCCCACAGGGACCAACGTTGTGACTACTGGATCAGGACTTTTGTTCAACACCTCACAGCTGGCCGATTCTCCCTGGGAAACATTCAAAGTGAGTTCTGAGTGGAGTGGGACCCTTGTCCTTCTACCCAGACTTTATTATGGGGAGAACCATTCTGAAAGTTGAGGGGAAGTGCACAGCACCCCCTTTCCTGCACAAGGACAGAACCCATCTTTCACATCCGCAGATTATTCTAACATACAGAACTATTTAATACAAGTGGCCTCTACCGACTATGACAAGTTTGCCATGGTATTTTTCAAGAAGACTTCTGGAAACAAGCAATACTTCAAAATTATCCTGTATGGTGAGTTCTTGACTAACTCTTAGGGACTCAACTTCTTTTTTTTTTTTTTTGTCTGTTTTTTTGTTTTTGTTTTTTTTTGTCTTGAGACAGGGTTTCTCTGTGGTTTTGGAGGCTGTCCTGGAACTAACTCTTGTAGACCAGGCTGGTCTCGAACTCACAGAGATCCGCCTGCCTCTGCCTCCCGAGTGCTGGGATTAAAGGCATGCGCCACCAACGCCCGGCGGTACTCAACTTCTGCTTACATTCAAAGTTGGGATCCCACAGCCTCAGCCCAGGGAGTGGTCTTTCTGCAGACCTCCAGGGAAAAAAATGTGAACCTCATTTGCTAGTTCAGTGACACTCACTGCCAATCTTGGTTGCAGGAAGAACTAAGGAATTGCCCACTGAACAAAAGCAGCATTTTGTCCGCTTTGCCAAGATTCTGGGCCTTACAGATGACCACATCATCTTCCCTGTCCCCACCGGTAATGGCCAGTTGGGGAGAGGGGAAAAGGCTGTGGGGGTGTGGGGGACTGTCCAGGATGATACCTACCCCACCAAAGAAAGGGACCCACTCTGAGGTCTGGAAGACCCTGTGACACCCTGGGGTCTATGGGGCCCTCAGGGATCCCAGCCCCAAGTTTTCTTTCTGGCCATTGACCCAGGGCATGCCAAGATGAGAGTTTCAGGTCCAAACATCCTTAGTCTTGCTTCCCCAAGCTACTTCTGCCTACAGCTGAAAGCTATTTCCTCTCCAAACCCTGAACCTTGCTGTCAGGGACCTCTCTGCATCCCATGACCTGGGAGACATTTTGTTTTCAAGTAGCTAGGACAGGAGGCTCCAGCCAGGCCACCCGATGAGAGGCTATCAAGGCCCAGCGGGTAAACAGGCGGAAAGCCTGGGTACATGAGCCACTGTGTCCCTCCACCCCTGCCCTACAGCAGCCCTGTGGGCTTTTCCCTCACACATTCTGTTCCACATGGGTCCCTTTACTGCCCCAATCCTGGAAGAAGCTCCAGATCTTTTGTAGTCAGGCTAGTCCGGAGCTGGCGAAGCACAGACTCCTAGTGGCCAGACATCCTGCGCTCTGTCCTGATGAACTTTTCTCACCTACAGACCAATGCATTGACAACTGAACAGGCGGTGAGTGTGGCTGACTGGGACGGGCAGGGGCCCGGTGGGAGGCCAGGGCACAGTGGATTGGGGTCTGCAGCTTGTCTTTGTTCCTCCTCTGAACTGTGGTGTCATGATTCTGCTGCCGTCTCTCAGGTGCCTCCGGTCTGCCCACAAGCCCATCTTTCCTGTTGCCAGAGCGCCGAATGGTTACCCCACCAAGCCACGATACCAATGAGCACCAGATGACTCATTATCTGGGCTGCACTACCCGGCCACCCATCCCAATGACACCCCTGAATAAATGCATGTCCCCAGTTCTCTGAGTCTGTGCTGCTTAACCCCATATAATGAGGGGAAGGGCAAGGTGGGGGGGCTCACACCAGTATTATTCCAGCATGGTGCTAGAGCTGCAGAAGGAAGGCTCAGGGAAAAGAAGGCTCCAGAATTATGGCCACTAACTGCCCCACGTCCCTCCTATACAGAACAATACTGCGTTCACTGCTGTTTCGGTCGGTACCCCTAGTCAAGCCCAGGCCTCACCTTGGGGGCAGTGTGAGCTTCTCACACCTCACCTCCTAGGGATATTTTGTACTTGGTCACTTGGCACAGGTCCCAAAGGGGCAGTCCCTCTGGAACTGGGAAGTCGGAAGGGTCCGGAGAGGTTGTGAGGCACAGTCGTCACACTCTCATCTGGACCTTGTGATTGCCAAGAGTGTGCAGCCAGAATGCATGAGGTTCCAAATGAACTCCCCACCACACATATGTTCTTCCCCCTTCCCGCTGGCCGAGGACAGGAGTGTGTCTAGATGCCGACTACCCCACCCTCAGCCCGGGACAGCACAGACCTGAGACCCAGCTCAGCAGATGGTGTTGAACTCTGGGCTGGACTTCAGGAAGAGGTCTGTCTGGCACAGACCGAACTGCCAGGGAGGAATAGAGGCCATGTGCGAGGCCAGGCTGAGAGGTGCTGGTTAAAGTCTCAATGGCTAGCCATGAAAGGAAGCTACACCCCACATACTACACTCCTGAGCACCAGTCAGAGCCCAGATCTAATTTCTTTCCTTAGGGTCTGAACTGGAACTCTATGTAGAGCAGACTGGCCTTGAACTCATAGAACCCTGCCTGCTTCTGCTTCGAAGAGCTAGGATTAAATGTGTGTACTATCAATCCCAGTTTATTGAAGTGGATGTTTTTCCTGCCTATATGTATGTGAACCACATACATGCAGTTGCCATAGAGGCCAGAAGAAGGAGTCGGGTCACCTGGAGCCGAAGTTACAGAGAGTATTGAGCTACCATGTGGATGCTGGGAACTGAACTCAGGTCCTTCAGAAGTGATGGTGTTCTTAAAGTTTGAGCCAAGTCTCCAGTTCTTTTATTTTTTCTTTTAATGTGTGTGTGTGTGTGTGTGTGTGTGTGTGGTGGTGGTCTGTGTGTGTGTGTGTGTGTGTGGTGGTCTGTGTGTGTGTGTGTGTGTGTGGTGGTCTGTGTGTGTGTGTGTGTGTGTGGTGTGTGTGTGTGTGGTGGTGGTCTGTGTGTGTGTGTGTGTGTGGTGGTGGTCTGTGTGTGTGGTGGTGGTCTGTGTGTGTGTGTGTGTGTGGTGGTCTGTGTGTGTGTGTGTGTGTGGTGGTGGTCTGTGTGTGTGTGTGTGGTGGTCTGTGTGTGTGTGTGTGTGTGTGTGGTGGTGGTCTGTGTGTGTGAGTGTGTGTGTGTGTGTGTGGGTGGTGGTGGTCTGTGTGTGTGTGTGTGTGTGTGGTGGTCTGTGTGTGTGTGTGTGTGTGTGTCTGTGTGTGTGTGTGTCTGTGTGTGTGTGTGTGTGTGTGTGTGGTGGTCTGTGTGTGTGTGTGTGGTGTGTGTGTGTGTGTGGTGGTGGTCTGTGTGTGTGTGTGTGGTGGTCTGTGTGTGTGCGTGTGTGTGTGTGGTGTGTGTGTGTGTGTGTATGTGTGGTGGTGGTCTGTGTGTGTGTGTGTGTGTGTGGTGGTCTGTGTGTGTGTGTGTCTGTGTGTGTGTGTGTGTGTGTGGTGGTCTGTGTGTGTGTGTGTGTCTGTGTGTGTGTGTGTGTGTGTGTGGTGGTCTGTGTGTGTGTGTGTGGTGGTGGTCTGTGTGCGTGTGTGTGTGTGTGTGTGTGGTGGTCTGTGTGTGTGTGTGTGTGTGTGGTGGTCTGTGTGTGTGTGTGTGGTGGTCTGTGTGTGTGTCTGTGTGTCTGTGTGTGAGTGTGTGTGTGTGTGTGTGTGACTACAGAAGTCAGCTTTCCATAACCTTTGCTCCTGTTGGTCCCTTCAAGTCAAATCTATGGCACAAATAGGACTTTGTTCCCTCTTCCTGCTACTGCAGATATGAGTTTCCCATTGGCATTGAACGGGTTGCAATACATGACCAGTTACAGTGGCATGCATGTATTCTCTTCCGGTTCCAGATGTCCAAGTTTGAATTAGTTATATGGTATCCATAGGGTTGTGCTGCCTCTGGGGTTCTGGGGAAGAATCCACTTCCCTGCTTCCCAGATTAAGGCCCTGTGCTGAGAACAGTCCCCATTCTGGACTAGCCACTGTCACACCAGGAACAAGCTGCTGGTGCCATGGGGTCTCCTGGCCGTTGCAGATAGAGGAGTCCTGAGACACCATCCTAACTCCCAGCTGGACGTAGGTGCAATCCACAGGCGATTTCAGACAGTGACTGGTACGGGCCTCCTTTTCCCACCCAGTGCATGGAGTAGGGGGATGATGACCTCAAGCAGGGCTTTATCCTGAAGCCTTCTGTGATGGACAGTGTCAATCAGGGCCACTTAGCACAGAGTTTCCGTGGCCCGGGGGGCACCTACAGCAGGGTCCAGCGAACCCTTTGCCTACTGGGAACCTGACACAGTCCTGGAGAAGGACTCCTCTCCAGTCCATGCCCCATTTGTTGGCATGGGTCAAACACACTGGGTCTACATCTACTGTCCAGGCTGGAATCTGGTCTGATTCCCACCCGGTAAGTGTAGCCTTTGAGTCGTGGGTAAAATCTGGGTTGCACCTGAAGGAGTTGGGAAGAACGTGGATTCCCGGGGACTGGGGAGGAGCGGTGCTGGGAACAGAGTTCTCTAGACAGCATTTGAAACCGCCTGTCTGATTCCCACCATACAGAGGGGCGGAAACAGCTGGATGGAGCCTAGTAGAAGTCTCAAGCTCTAGCGGGCCAGGGTCTTTACTCCCTGGCTTTCGGTGCGAGAGCTCGCTCCGTTGACCGCGGGGAGGGTGGGGAACAGGGGCGGGGAGGGTGGGGAACAGGGGCGGGGAGAGGGACGCGACTCGGAAGCGAGACCAGGAGGAAGCTGAGAGCGGAGGGGGCGGGGCCCTGCTTGAGGGCGAGGCTTGATAGGCTGCGGGGCGGGGCTCGGGGCGGGGCTCGGGCGGGGCTCGGGGCGGGGCTCGGGGCGGGGCTCGGGGCGGGCCCCCGTGCGCCGCTGCGTTCCACTCTTCCGGCACGGCGTTCCATCAGCTGCTTGCACCTTCCGCCCAGCGCCGGCTTTCCGCGCGGTGGTCGCCAAGTTCCATTTTCCCGTGGCCTCTGCGGCGCCCGATCCCGCAATGTCGGGCCCCAACGGGGACCTAGGCATGCCGGTCGATGCGGGCGCGGAAGGCGAGAATGACAGCTTCGGGGAAGCAGGTGACCTGGGCGAGGGGAGGGTGCGGGTGCTGCTGAGCCGACCTTTGCTTTGCTGGGGGTGCTGTCCTGGAATGGGACCGGGATGTGTGAGGGACTGGAGAGCCGTCCCACCGCTCCCCTGGGTGGCTCCGGAGTTGTCCCCACAGCCACCTCGGAGGCAATCGCGAGCGCTAGTGAACGGATCCCTGGATGCCGCAATACTGGGGAACTGTCGCTAACCAGCCCTGGTTACATATGGGGAAACCGAGGCAGCCTCAGAGACGCCTATCGGCTTGGGATTTGTCTCAGCCACTTTCTTCGCTGAAGGGGAGCAGGCCCCGCTTGGCTCTGCAGGTGTTGGCCTGGTGGGCGCCCCACTATGATGAGTCAGCACCCCAGCCACCTGGCTTTGCTGGTGTGACCCGCTTACCAAGGACTGTGTTGGGTGCACAGCACTGCAGAAGGACCTCAGGGGAAGCATCAGCCCACAGACTCCCTTTGCACGTTTTGGAACCTCAGTTTTCCCATCTGTAATATTAGGTACATTGGTGTCTACTGTTTTGATATGTGTCGGGATTAAATGGAAAATGGTTAGACTCTAGGATTCCAGCGTACAAGTTCCTTCTGAAAGTGGATATATATATTCATTCATATTCGGTCAGGACTTGTGCAGTAAGAATGGGGTATGCTTTTGTTCTGTTATAAAAGCTTTATTGAGCTGTATGTCACACTATGGATTTTACCATTTAAACAGTACAGTTCTGTAGGCTTTCATATATTCACAGCATATCCATTGTCACAACAGTTTTAGAATATTTTCATCACCTAGCTTCTGCTTTTAATAAAGGCTGGCCTCCAACTGGAGGCATGTTGTGGGTGGGTCATTAGGCTTACAGTGGGCAGCCATGGTGGCAACATCGTGAGGGGGCAGTGTAACACTGGGTGGACATTGGGATGGTGGGGAGGAGGCTTTCTGTCCCAGGACAAGGAGCAATGGCTAGGAGGTACCCTTGACATAGATGAAGCCTAGCCTGGAGACACCACCTCTCCTCACCCCTCTGCTAGCCTGCCAGACGTGGGAAGGATGTTGTGGCCAGACCCCAACTGAGCTCTTGGTTCCCTGGAACCCTCGGTGTTTCCTACTCCAGTAAGGAGTTGCCAGGGTACAGCAGATCTGGGACTCAAACCTAAGGGTCTCTGACCTCCAGTTCTGAGTTTTGGCCCCGTCACCGAGTAGCTTTGAGAAGCTGTTCTGGTTCCTTCCTTCTTAGGTCTCAGTTTCTCCATCTGTGCCATGATGGATGGACTTTAAGATACAGCAGCCTAATCCTAGCCCTCGGGAGGCAGAGGCAGTCTGTGAGTTCGATGCCAGTCTGGTTACAAGAGCTAGTTCCAGGACAGCCTTAAAGCCACAGAGAAACCCTGTCTCGAAAAACCAAAAACCAACCAACCAACCAAACAAACAAAAAAACAAAAAAACAAAAAAACCAGCAGCCTTCAGAGGCTTTATCCTCTGTAAGGGATGCCCGCTTTGGGAACCATCCCCCAAAGGCATTTGCACTTATATCCCAGACACCCTCCCTGGCCTTTTTCTTAAATCCACCAGCTACTTCCCCTCTGGTCCCAAGCTGGCAGCTGAGTGTTTGAGTCATGGGCTGGCTCAGAACTGGGTCCCGCAGTGGGCACGGACCCAGACCTTGGGTCCTAAGGGACGTAGCATTGCCAAGAGGCAGGCCAGCAGCCGCTGTAGAGGAAGACAGGGAAGACGTCTCAGACAGGGGAAGACTCCAGGAGGAGGTATTTTGAGGTGGTCCTTGAAGGGTTGTTGTCGATGAATTCTAGATGGTGGACAGTTGAGCAAAAGCAGGGACTGGGAAGTCAGAGCTTCATTCATTCATCCATTCACTCATTCATTCAGTAAGTGCTTACTTGTGTTGTCGAGGGCACTGGGGAGACAGCAGAGAACACAAGACCGTCACCTCTCCCAGATCTCCACAGTTGAGTGTGAGACTGAGTGGAGGCCAGCACCCAGATAGTCACAGCAGTGATCCCTGGTGGGACAGCTATGGAAGGTGGCTAGAGGGTCAGAACAAAGGCCTGGTCCAGGGTGGGGATAGCCGTACCGAGACCTGGAACAAGTGGTGTTCGTCCCAGAGGGAAAGACAAGAAGGCCACCCAGTGCATTCCGAGGGCCTGGGAGAGGCTAAGCAGGTCTGAGGGGAGATAGGGATGAAGAGGGAAGTAGGGGGCTGGGTCTGCTCTAGGGCCTGGAAGCTACGGGACGCTACTGGGAAGGCACAGAGAGCCACAGACGGGCTGGAGGTCACATGCCTAGCACAGAGCCTTTGACTGCCCAGCTCTGGAACCTGGGTTCTGACTTCCAGGTAGCTATGGAAGGAAATGCAGAGGAAGCATGGCCTATGATAGGGCCACCAGCCAGGATACTGGCAGATTGCCCCAGGACCACACTAACCCTACAAAGAAGGTGTGCTAAAGATGATTTCTTTGACATTTTGCCTCTTGTGGTACCTACTCATTTGCCACATGGTGACACTGAGACTCAGAAAGTTGTGTCCAAAGCCCTGTCAAGGGAGAGCTGGGGACACTGTGCACTGTGTCTATCAGCCCTAAGGAGACACAGGACCTTTCCTCTGTCTTTTCCCTCCTCCCAGAGTATGCTGCCATCAACTCCATGTTGGATCAGATCAACTCTTGTCTGGATCACCTGGAGGAGAAGAATGACCACCTCCATGCCCGCCTCCAGGAGTTGCTGGAGTCTAACCGACAGACACGCCTGGAATTCCAGCAACAGCTTGGGGAGGCCCCCAGTGATGCCAGCCCCTAGGTGCCAGGAGCCCCCAACCAGGCCCCACCCTTGCCTCTCTAGGCCATGTTCTGGCCCGGGTAGATGCTACCTGGCTTAGACACCATCTCAGGTACTGGCCTTCAGGTTCCCCAGTGGGTCTACCAGCCTGGACCAGACCCGACTGCCCATCATCCCTTCTGGGCCAGGTGTGGTCCTACAACTCATTCACTTGTCTGCCCGCCCATTCCCAGTCTCTTTCCCCTCCCCCAGGACTGAGTGTCCACATTAAAGAGGCCTCCCACACAGCACCCTCTCATCTCTTAATGGGATAAGGACCCCATTAGCCACTGTGGCTTGTGACCACGTGACAGGGCTGGGGTTCTCAGCCACTTTCATTCCTGATGCAGAGGATACAGGCAGAGCCACGGCTGCCTCCCTGCCTGGTGTGTGGCAGCTGCTTCCCAGCCTGGCTGAGACAGACACACTCTGTGACTGTGAGATGCATTGGGTCTCTTTGGCGCTAGGGCCTTTCACCATGATAAACACCCTAAGGAACTGATGGTAAACCTTGGCACCTTCCACTCTAGCCTCAGTCTCCCCAGCTGGCATTAAAAGCCAGGCTGCCTTATCTCTAAGGGTCATCTCTCTAAATGAGAGAACAGAGCTAAGCTGGGCCCCTTCACTACTTATCTGACTCTGGATAAGGAGGGCTGTGCTCTCTTGGCAAACCAAGAGCTAAACCTCAGCAGCAAGGAGCACCGCCCCCCCCCAATCCTAACTCCATGTCTGACCCTGGCTCCCCACCCCCCACCCCCGCCATCCTAACTCCATGTCTGACACCCCCCACCGCCATCCCAACTCCATGTCTGACACCCCCACCACCATCCCAACTCCATGTCTGACACCCCCACCACCATCCTAACTCCATGTCTGACACCCCCCACCCCCCACCATCCTAACGGACTTTTGTGAGGTGTAGCTGGACAGAGGCCAACTCAAAGGTCAAGAATTTACACCTAGGGTTAAGTCCTAGCTGTTTGCCAGTCTGACTTTTGGCAAGTCACATGACCCTGCTGAGGCCTCAGTTTGCTTATCTGCAACTTGGGGGGGAAGAACAAGACCATCTGCTAGGGTTACCAGCCATAAGGACTTCCTCTCAAGTTGCCTTCCTAGCCCTGATACACTAAGAGGTAAACTGAGGCTCAGAGAAGATCAGAGCCTTGTAGTCCTATCCCAGAGACCCTGCATCTCAGGGAGCCTGATTTTGGCTTCCCTGGTCCTCCACCACACTGTGTCCAGAGAGAGTAAGGTGCCCTTCCCCATACCACCCCGACACAGTGCTGGTGGGGACTGCAAAGTCAGACAACACTTTATTGAATTTTGAGTAAAAACACCAGCCATGTGAACATTTCCACGGAGACACCTAGAAGGCATTAGCAGATCCCGCCCTAGTCAGGCTGGGTGGCCAGAGCTCCCTCTATCAGGTTCTGAGGCGAGTTGAGCGCCGAAGGGGGGGAGGGGGGCTGAGGGATCCAGGCTTCACCTTGCTGGGTATTTTCGCTGTCTCCTGGGTACCAGGCTGGCTGGGTGGGCGGCCACTGCCACTGCTAGAGGTGAACAGCGCAGTCAAAGCATTCCGGGCGTTGATCGCACACCTGCGGCTCACGGGCCTCGTGGCAGGGCTGGGGTTCTTGGCTGCTTTGTATTTCTGGATACAAAAGTTTTCAAGTTAGGTGTAGCCTATGGGCACTCCCGGCTGGCAACTACTTCCCAACTTGGACCAAAACAGTAATCATCTGTTGTGTGACCCTATGTGAAGCTCTTAGCCTCTTTAGGCTCTGGAGTCACCCCCACCCAGACCCCCAGCACACACGTGAACACACACACACACACATACACACACACACACATACACACACACACACACACACACACACACACACACACACACGGACATGACACAAAGAGCCAAGCCCGAGTCCCTCCCTGCTGTGGGAGTGTGCCAGCTTGAACACAGGTTGTGCCCCTGGGCAGGGCAGTCAGATGGACACTCACCTGCAGGTTCTCAAAGTGGGCCAGTGACTTGCAGTGGGAGAGCCGCAATCCTGAGTTACTGTCATAGAACTTGTGACAGATGCGGCAGACATAGCCCATCACGGGCACCAGGAAGTCCACACCTGGGGGACAGACAGCAGGGGCTGTACACTCAGGTCCCCCGCAGCAGCTGGGTGTCCCCACCTGCTCTAGGTGGGAGAAGAGAAAAGCCCAGGGGTGGGCTGCCTGACTGGAGAGCTGTGTCTGGGACTGGAGGGCGGAGCTTGGGGTCTCACCATATGCCGTGTTGGGGCTGTAAGTCTCTGGGCCTTTCCATTCCTCTAGAGATGTATCTCTTGACTTCACCTGGAGAGGGAGTCAAGGCTCAGATGTGCCTGCGGTGCGCCCATGGTCTCCAGAGCAACAACCATGCCCTCTGCTTACAGCTCGCTGAGGGTGGCCTTCTCTGGGCTGTGGCACATGCGGCCCTGATGACTACGTTGTGGGCTTCAGTTAGCTCCTTCCTCCAAGCCGAAAGACCCCCTTCCTCCTTAGGCTGCTTTTGTAATGCATTTGAGTGTGTGGGGTCTGGGTACCTGAGGCTAGTGCCTGTCAAATCTCTGGGAACTGGAGGCAAAGGCGTCGGTGAGCGACCTGACATGGGTGTGGGGACTGAGCCCAGGTCCCCTGGGAGAGCCCCACAACTTTTCACCATCACCATCCTGGAGACAGGGGCTTGGTATGGAGCCCACGACGGAGCTCTCAATTTTCCTGTCTCAGCCTCCATGGTGCTGGAGTCTCTATTGCCCCTCCTCCTGCTACTGGAGAGTGAATCTAGGGCTCTTCACATGCCAGGCTCTACCACTCGGCTATAGTTCCTAGTCCTCTGCCTTCCCCTCTCCACCCCCAGTCCACCTGTATTTCTTTTGCTCCGTCCAGAAATAGCAAGCATGAAGATCTTATACAAAGCCTCGCAGGACTGCAGACAGTCTGCTGTAGAATGCCTTCTGGGTCTGGCTAAGCACTGTTCCCTCTGCCCTCCCTTCCCCACAGTCAGTACTCAGCCCTTGTCTATTTCACCTGTCACTTAATGGTCATCCCTGTGCCTATCTCCATGGCCATGTGACACAGCCCATAACTGTGTCATGCATTTAGTGCCTATAAATGCCAGCGTGTCTGTACCCCTCAAGGAGCAGGAAAGCCCCTCTGTCCCCAGCAGCCTCCGGCAGCCCACCCCACATACCTGCTTGCAGAATTCCTCCTCAGCCTCAATCTCTTCCTCTTCCTCGTCATCCTCATCCTCTTCTTGATCACTCTCAAAGCATCCAACAGCATCCACTGTGATGAAGTGGTCCTCCTCCGGGCTGCCCATCTCCTTTTCAAGTGTCTTCAGCTGCCCAAGGCACGGGCTTAGGTCAGCTATGGGCAGCTGAGGTACCACACACCCCTGAGGGTTCTAGGTCCTCCACCTGCTCTATGATCTGGGGGGAAAAGCTTCATGCTATACTCGGGCACGGGGGGGAGTTACCTCCTTGGCCTTATCTTTGTGTCCCTGGGACTTCACATGCTCCACAAACTTTCGAGGAGTCTTGAAATAACGGTTGCATATGGTGCAGAAGGGCCTCAGGGATTGTTTGGCGATCTGGGGAAAGGAAGGCAGGCCATGAGGCGCATTGTAGCACCCTCCCCCCAGGTTCAAGCCACCTATCAGTGGCCCAATGAGAGACCTCACCTGTCAAACCTGCGGGCCCAACTCAGCTCCACCCTTGCAATGGGACATGCAAAATCACTTCTCTCCAGTATGTGGGATGGTAGGTGGCAACAGAGATGGGACAGGAGGGAGGACAGCCACCAAAGACCCCAGTAGGCTAGTGGCTGAATAGCAGGGGGAGCTAGCTAATACCTGCACTGAACGACGGGCAAAGTAAGGCCCAAAGAGGAACATGACTGACTCACCAGAAGCCGCAAGAATGAGTCACATGGAAACCTCCCACTCCCACCCTGGACCACCTCCCCCACCTGGCTCGTCTGTGGCGCACATAGGTGCCTTTGCAGCGTGTGAGGGGCTCTCACACCTTGTGCTCCTGTGTCCTGCGGTGCTGGATCAGGTCTCCCATGTAGTACACCTGGCAGGTGTTGCACCAGCGTTTTGGAGGAGGCTCTCTGAATGATGACGATAAAAACAAGCAGGGCATAATGCTATACTCTCCTAGAATGCTCCCCAGATGTAATGCGGTTTGGAAGCCAGGGTGTGGGCCAGCCCTACAGTGCCTTCTTGAGGGGCCAGGGTTCTAGTTGCAGCATCAAAAAGACAAAGAAAAGAGCAGCGATTCCTGACTCCTCTGAATGAGAGCTAACAGACATGTGCTCTCTGTCCAACAGGCAAAAAGACGAGCAACCGAGTCCCTGCTGTCCCCTCATCCTCAGTGGAACCCCCAACCATCGACTCAGACACTGTCCAGTCTGAGAAAGGCTTTCATTTGTCTTCAACAGCATTTACTGTAATTCTAAAACAAGTCAACTCTGAGATCTCACTACGCAGCTGGCTTTAAACTCTTGCTCTTAGCTGGGCATGGTGGCCCATCCCTTTCATCCCAGCACTCAGGAAGCAGAGGCAGGCGGATCTGCGAGTTCCTGGACAGCCTGGTCTACACAGAGAAACCTTGTCTTGAAAAACCACCACCACCAACAAAAACCTCTTGATCCTTCTGCCTCAGCCTCCCAAGTGCTGGGATCACAGGTGTGGGTCACCACAGCTGGCTTTGTTGTTGACACTCCTAAGTTATCCAGGTTCCTTGATTCTCCTGAAAAGCTGGGCACGCTGGCATCTGGCAACCACAGAGGCAGCTGATCCAGGAGATACAGCCCTTATCTTCCAGGTCCCAGGTCTATAAGGTTCACTTTCTCCAACAACACTTCCCAGCCCTGCAGGCTTGTGACACCTCACTGGGGCCAGACAGCTCCTATAGCTTCCCACCCAGCCTTGTCACTCCAAGTGCTAGTTCCAGACGCCAGGGTGGACATTTCAGACCAACCACATCCCCTGTGACAATGGAATGAGGACTCACCAAGGTCTAACCCCGGGGCACAAGATGACCTGATCCTTCCCATTGTGTTTTTGTGGTTGGGGCCAGCACACAGACCAGAGGAGCAGGGCTCTGTACCATAATCCCCCTCGAACACAGAGGTGTCACACTATTCTTATCTGGAAGGACCCTTAGGAGGCTGTCACTACACCCCTCATCAGGCTGCTTTATGGACAGGGGAAACTGGGGCCCAAGCTTACAGAGTTAATGGCATACAGAGCAAGGCTTAATCCCCAGGCAGACCTCACAGAGTATACTGAGGGCCTGGGCTGTGAGGCTTCATGCCCTACAACATGAGCCTCTGCCAGCCTTTACTTACTCTGCCTCTCTCTCCAGGATGTCCCGAGGCATGGGCAGCAGGGACAGCAGGCAGGTCTGGCTCGAGTGCTGCATTTCCCCAAGCCGCTGCTGGTGCTGAGCTTCTGACATGTGGTCCTGGAACTCCTGAAGCATGAAGGAACCAGAGGTGGCCGCGAGCCACAGGCACAGGGAGGGCAACTCCAAGCACCATGGCCACCCTGCATCTCTGATCCTCCTGACTCCGTTTCTCCCACATGTCCTACGAGCGTGTGCCACCACAGCAGGTATTATTTTACACAGCTCAGTGTAGGCCAGGGCAGGGATGGTAAACTGAGGCATGGCAGGGATGCACACCCTTTCCAGGAGTGCTTCAATGATAAGAGACAAGGAGCACAGTCCCAGGTAACAATGGCTACTGGAAGTAAGTAAAAGCATTAAAAAAAGACTGGGGAGTGGGCTGGAGAGATGGCTCAGAGGGGAAGACCACTGGCTGCTCTTCCTAAGGGCCTGGGTTTGGTTCCTAACAACCACATGGTGGTTAACAACCATCTGTAACTCCAGTTGCAGGGGATCCGATGTCCTTTTCTGGCTTCTGTGGGCACTGGACCCTTGTGGTGCAGATAGACATATGGGCAAAATACTCATACACATAAATGAAAATAAACATTTTTTTAAGTTGGTCTGTTTTTAATTTAAAGATAGATACTGAGTTCTGGCTATATTGCCCAGGCCAATCTGAAACTCATGTGTTCACGTGTCCTGTTTCAACCTCCCAGGCGGGTAGGAGCTGCTGCAGGGAGTCCTGACAGTCCTAGCCAAGACTACTATTCATTTATTTCTTTTGCTCCTCACATGTTAAGCAAGGGCAGAACTATATCCCGATTATACTTTCTTTTTTTTTTTTTTTTAGTTTTTATTTTGAGACAGGCTCTCTCACTAAGTTGACCAGGTTGCCCTTAAACTCATGATCCTCCTGCCTTGGCTTCCCAAGTGACTAGAATCAGCCCAGCTAAGACTACTATTATTCATGCTGCGCTTGCTTGGGCCGGACCTGGACCCAGAGCTTCAGTGTCAAGTGCTGGACCCTAAGATGCAGTAAGCTCTTGGCTATATGCACTGAACACAAGAGGGAAGGACACAGAGGTGAATTTACTTCTGGAGACCCTGATGGTCAGTCAGATTTGAGCTAAGTTTTCCTTGGCCCTAAAACCCTGCTCTACCAGCTGACTAGGAAATATGTCTAAACGGACGGACAGTCACGGGCTAGTGTAGGGAAGGCAAACCGGCAGGCCCCCCACCCCCGCCCCCGCCCGCCCCAAGTACCTGCTGGCTGCTGCAGCTGGCCTTGCAGATATAACAGAAGAACTGAAGGCTCTGCCTGGAGGGTGCGCTGCCAAGGGCAGGGGCGGCAGAGGTGGGGTCCCCAGGGCGAGGCCCAGACGTGAGGGGTGTGGTGTTGAAAGCCCGGCTGTCGCTGCTCTGCAGGATGGTGACCTTCAGGGAGCCCCCAGCTCCCCACATCTGCAGTAGATTCAGAGGTGAGAATCTACCATCTGGGTGCTGATGGTGTGCTGGCCCCGACAAGAAACTGACTGCCCAAACTACACAGATCTGAACCTAGATTGAATGTGTGCGTGAGTGCATGTGTGCGTGAGTGCATGCGTGTTTGCGTAGGTTTGCAAGCGCCTGTCACTGTGTGGGCCAAGGCTGGCCTGAAACTCGAAGAGATCACCCTGCCTCTGCCTCCCTAGGGCTGTTTTAAGATGTGCACCACCACTCCCAACCCAGCTCTGCTTAATTCTAAAGTCCACCCCATGCCACCCTCACATGGTGGGTGGGAAACTGAAACCCAAGGAAGAAAGGAGGCTGGCTTAAAGTTTGTTGTAAGGGAGAGCTGGGACCCGAGGCCCACAAGGAGGCTTTTGCTAAGACACTCTTTGCCCTAAAATGACATCACCACATGAGGGACTGGGGGCTCCAGTGTGGAGTGGCCAGACTCCTGTCACCAAAAGCACGTCCAGATCTTAAGAAAAAAGACACAAGAGCAGAGGAACCACCATGTGGCTCACCCGTGCAGCCAGGTACAAGGCTGCTGTCCTCTCCACACAGGGGAAGCGGGAAGCCTTAGGCCAGCACCGGGCCCTTAGGTCTTCCGGTGGCTGTATGCAGGCCTCTACGCACCCCGAGCATCTCTCTGGCTCTTCTTTCACATTCTCCCGCATCCAGGCCTTCAGCCGGCACCTCCTGGCTCTTGTCTTCACTGCTTTGGGCATCTACTGGTTCTGGCGAGGCCTCCTCTGGGCCTGAAACGACAGACATGTTCCTTTCCCAGTGTGTCTACTATATGGGGTCCAAGATCTAGATCTACGAGAGCTGGGTTCTCTATCCACAGCTATGACCCCAAAGTCCGAGATGGGGATGGTCCCAGATCTGAACTCTGGGCCCAACCCTGTCCCCAGTAAGGCCAGACAGTGCCAGGTGGAGAAAGAAGGGTTGGGCAGGGCTGGATCTGGCCAGGAGCCCACATACTCGCTCACCTCCCCCAGCTCCTGCAGCGGCACACGGTGGCTGTGGTTCTGTGCCACAGGCTGGAACTGACGCTTGCTCTGGTGGGGGAGCTGGCCCCTGTAGCCAGGCCTGAGGCTGGTCCTGGGTCTTCTCTGACGTCTGTTCCTGCATCTGTCCTGAAGGCTGCTCCTGTGGCTGTGCTTGGGTGGGTACCTGTGGATGTGTCTGTGGCTGCCCCCGTGGCTGTACCTGACTCTGCTGCGGCGCTAAGTGCTCTGGGGAGGTCTGTGTCTGGGCCTGCTTCTGCAGCCTTGGCTGAGCCTGAGCCTGGATCTGCAGAGCCTGTGGCTGGAACTGTGGCAGGGCCTGTGCTTCTGGTGCCTCAGGCAGTTGATCTGGGGTCTGCGTTTGCTTCAGTGCTGTCATCTGGGGCTGGCTCTTTGCTTGTGGCTGCCCTGTAGGCCCTTTCTCTGTGGACTCCTCTGAGCTACGAAAGACCCGGAGACAATGAAAACCACAGCTAGTGGTGCTTCATGTCTTTGCTCCTAGCCCTACGGAGGCAGAGACGGGGATATATATATATATATATTTCTTAAGAATTGGAGGGCAGCCTGGTCTACATAGGGAGTTCTGGGTCAGCCAAGGCAGTCTCAAAACAAAACAAAACAACAACAACAAAAAAAAAAAAAAACAAGAAAATAAAAAAATCTTTTGAGAGCCCTATGACTCAGTTCCTAACCCCGGCTCTACTTACAATGAGGGATCAAGGATGCTTGAAAGCTATCCAGGCCTCTTTCACCTAAATAAACTCAGGGGCCTTGACTTTCCACCTTGTAACATGTCTTGATTAACCCTATAAACCAGGTACCACCCATGCACTCTACAAAATCCCCTCCCTCCTAGCTGCCCAGCCTGGCCTCACACCCAGGTAGACACAGGGATGAGTCTCTCTCTGTCTCTCTCTGTCTCTGTCTCTGTCTGTCTCTGTCTCTGTCTCTCTCTCTCACACACACACACACACACACACCTGCGGCCAGAGGCCAAGGCCTAACTTTACAGGCGTGAGACCCAGGCCTGAGCCCCAGCATGTGGCCAGCATCACTCACCTCTTTGTCCTCTTGGCTGGTGGTTCCAACGCCTCCAAGGGCTCAGGCTCAGGCTCAGGCTCAGGCACTGGGCTCTCACTCACCACGCCGTTTGGGCAGATTAGTAACTCTTGGTCTGCAGTGGAGGCAAGTGGGGGAATACAGCTCCAGGAGATGGCCCTGGCTCACCTGCCACCAAGATCTCCCCTGTCCCGATGTCCCTTGCAGGCCAGCAGCACCCATCTCTCACCTCCAGGTGTGTCCATCTGCAGCTCCGAGGCTTCTTCAGACCCCTCTGTGGGGTCCTCCCTGTCTCCCAGAGGAACTGTCTGGGAAGAAGAGTCCTGCTTCCTTTTAGAATCCACTTTGTAACCCCTGCCTCATTTGCAAACACCCTCCCGCTCAACAGAAGGGGCTGAACACCTCAAGAGTCATTGTCTGAGGTGCCCACCTAGCTGCCTGACTGCTGTCTGAATCTGGGCTGGGGACACACAAAACCTCTCGGATCCACCGGAGTCAGGGAGAGCCTTTGGCCTAAACCCTTCCAGGGCCTTCTAGCCCTGGGATTCTCCTAATCCCGAGCCTGGAGGTGTCCACTCCTCCCCACTTTCATACCCTGGATCTCTGCCTCCCTTCCCGCCTCCCGACCCCCTACCAGCCATCCTCCTACACAGAGCCTATCTCACTGGCCTTTCTCTGGTCAAGCCCCGCCTCTTCCTGTCCCCAGTCTTCAAATGGAGCCAGACCCATTGAGTGGAGTTTTCCAGTTTTGTTACTGTTGTTTATTTGAGACAGGATCTCACTTATTTCATAATTAATTGTTTTTGTGTACTGTATTAGCATGTCTTAAACATACACCAAGATCCACAGAAAAGCCAGGCCCCTGGGTGCCACTCATAGCTTCTCTTCCTCCTGCTAAGGTCTCTGACCCTGGCGAAAACACATACCTACCCACATCAGGACTCTAGGCCCTTAAGAAACAGGGAGTCAGGAAGCCTGGGTTCTGTGCCCACCTCAACTGCCCAGTCTGCCAGTTGTAGTTTTTCTGTATGTAAAACAGTAGCACCGGTACACCAAGACACTGGTGTACCAGGCCTAACCCCAAGGTAGAGGCTGAGCCCTTCTCTGGAGGGAATACCTTCCTACAGGTGTGGGAGGACCAAAGCAATTAAGTAAGGCGTGTTGTTCGTGCCCTAGAATACACCTGGGAGTGGACCTTGCACCAAGAGCCGCAAGGGCAGTAAGCATGCGTGCTGGCACGCCCACATGTGTGCGTGCGAGCGAGCGTGTGAGCGTGCATGTGTCTGTGTTTTCTGTTGTGTCCATTTTTGGCTTTTCGGTTTCCTCTGTGAATCTCAGACTCTCCTGCATGAGGTAGGATGAGCCACTACACCGCAGGCAGCTGCTGGTGGCTTTAGATGCAGCTACTTCTGAAACTTGTAGGCAGTGATACAATTCTTCCTTATTTTCTGCAGAACTCAGAGCTTCCAATACCCCAAGCCTGTGCGCTACCAATGGGCCACACCCTCACACCTTAAAAGTAACATTCAGAGCTGCCGTCTACGCAATGACCGCTGGGCTCAGGTAAATACTTGAAATGCTGAGTTTTAATTAAGGTGGGAAGCTTAATGACACAACAGATATTGAATATTTAGTGGTTTCTGTGGGTTTCTTTTTAAGGACAAAATGGGACATGGTGAAATATACCGGTAGTTTTAGGAACTTGGGAGGCTGAGGCAAAAGGATCGTTTAAGCCAAGGCATTTGAGATGAAGGTGGGAAACAGAGGTATTTGAAGTTTGGAGGGTAAGATCTGGTCTCTTAAAGAACAAACAAACAATCATCAAGAGATCTTATTTATTTATTTATTTACTTATTTATGGTTTTTTTTTTTGAGACCGGGTTTCTTTGTGTAGCCATGGTTGTCCTGTCCGTAGATCAGGCTGGCCTTGAACTCACAGAGATCTGTTTGCCTCTTTCTCCTGAGTGCTGAGATTAAAGGGTGCTCCACCGCCACCACCACCACCACCCAGCTCATTTCTCTCTCTCTCTCTCTCTCTCTCTCTCTCTCTCTCTCTCTCTCTCTCTCTCTCTCTCTCTCTCTCTCTCTCTCTCTCTCTCTCTCTCTCTCTCTCTTTCTCTCTCTCTCTCTCTCTCTTTATTTTTAATACAGGTCAAACCGGTAACTTTTTAACATATTAGATTAACTAAAATGTTAGTAAATTTCTCTTTATTTTACTCATTTTTGTTTGCCTGTTCTGGACAGCTGGCCTAGAACTCACTATGTATCTGAGAATGACTTCTGAACCTTCTGCTCCATCTCTAGAGTGCTGGGACTACAGGTGCACAATACTATGCCTGACAGTAAAATTAACTTTATCTGCTCCTTTAGTTTATTTTTAAATTTTAAGGTCTGGAATGTGCAGCAACCTTCCACCCCCAACCTCCCAGTGCTGGGGTATGGTGCCATCACACGCTGACCTTTTTTAATCTTTTTAATGTGGTTATCAAAGTTTTAACTCATATACATGACTCATTATTTTATTTCTACTAGACACTGCTGATGTAAAGAGAAATATCAACAAGGGGTGGCAGCGTTTGGCATCAAAATTAATGACCTGAGTTCTGTCCCCAGGACCGTATGACGGGAGGAGAAAACGGGCACACACAAGTCACTCTGTGACCCCCACATGACCACCGTGGCACATGTAAAGATAAATGATAATGATGAAGTGACAAAGAAACTGCTTAGCCAGGTAGCGGTGGTGGCGCACACCTTTAATCCCAGCACTCGGGAGGCAGGGGCAGGCGGAGCTCTGTGAGCTCGAGGCCAGCCTGGTCTACAGAGAGAGTTCCAGGACAGACAAGGCTACACAAGGAAACCTTCTTTTGAAAAACAAACACACACACATAAACACCAATGAAAACTGTTTGAGAAATAGTACATAAATCATAATTAAGTGGTATTTGGTATGGCTGAAGCCCCGTCAAGGGCACTGAGTATTTGAAGTTTGGGAGGTGCTAGACACCTCCACCTTCACTTTACAGACAAGGACACTGAGGCACAAAAGGCGGGGAGCATGGCCTGCCCAAGGGCCAGCTGAGCCCGCGCACAGAGAGCCAGGGTGACACTGAGGTCACACCTTCACTAACTCCCACCCCTGTGACTCCACCCAAAGCGCTACTCACCTTGTGACTGGGGACGGTGGAAGAGGGGGGTCTTGCCTGTTTCTGGGGGTTCCTCCCTGAGCGGCAGAGCTGAGGAGGGTTCATTGGGACCCCAACAGGGGGAGGGCCCAGCAGGGACTGCCGGGTGGCCTGGGGAAAGAACTCTTGTAGAGCTGGAGGGACCATCTGGGGTGCTGCGAGGCCGGGGGCTGCCAGACTTGGGGCTGCCATGTTGTAAGCCCGGAGGTTGCCTGTGGGGAGGAAAATGTGGGAAGAGAGGTCACACCATGGCCCCTCAAAGCATCATGGGAACATTAGAGATAATTAAAGCCAAGCCGGGTGTTTGCTGCGGGCACTAGTGAGGGAGAAAGGACTTGGGGGGTGGCTTTGTTCCAACTGCAAGTGTGACCTGCCCCCGCTAGCCCTCAGACACACGGTTAAGGACCTTCGAGGGACCCGGCACAGGACCATAGGACAACAGCAAGCTGTTGTTCAGCACCATGTCCCTTACAGGCACTGCCTGAGACACCCCTGTAACTGCCTCAGCCCTCTAGCCTGCCAGGTAGCCGGGCAGGTGTGGCTGCTTATACAGGTGACAAAACAGATACGGAGAAGTAGCGCAGTAGCTTGCCCAGGACTTCTGAGGGATACCGCCGGCTCTGCCACTCCTCCTAACCCTATCCTCCACATCCAAGACATCACCAGGTCCTGGCAACCCCTACAGCTCCCGTTCAGTAAGGAAGCCTGCTCCTTCTAGAGCAAGGTCTGGCCCTGCCACGCCTCACACTGAGCTCTGGGCACATGTACTGGTGCAGTCCTTCAGTTACCCCGCCTCTGGGCCCTGAACGTGCAGCCCCCCTCTCCCGGTGGAAGCTGTTGTGCTCCACCAATTCCCAGCATCCTTCAGACCTCCCTTTAAGTCTTTTCTATTTCCCCTTCAGAAGGCCTTCTGTGATATCTGTGTCCATAGAGACCTCTGTCCCAGGACCATCCACCTTATTTCCTGTTACATCTCTTCTGACTCAGCTCCTTTTGCCCAGGGGAAGGCCCCGAGTGGAGCTGGCGTCCATGCTGAGATTCAGGGGCAATACGGGGCAGCACAGGCTTAGAGGCATGGTCAGTTATGCTGAGGGCTGAGATCAAGCTCAGACTCTACAGCACTAGCTCTGGGCCCTTGAGCAGAGTGGTTCCCCCTCCTCTCATCTGTCAAACAAGGACTCAAGAGTTAGGAACTAAGGTATCTGATAGCCGGGTACAACAAAGACATATACAGGGTCGCAGAGAGCCACCCAGCTCCTATAAACAGCACGATCAAAGATGATGGAACGCTTTCAAACAGAAATGGACGAAGGACATGGACTAGTCACAAAATGAAACGCAAATGTCTAATAGATACGTGTAAAAGTATTTTAGCTACACTAGCACGTGGAAATGTGAATTAAGACATTCAAGACACAGCTTTAGCCTTTGCAAACCAACTCAGTAAATTATATGTACATACACATTTATATAGGTATATATAAAAAAAGCATAGAGTACCCAATGCTGCCGTGGGCATGGTGAGGCCGGCACTGTCATACGTGGCTGGTGGCATTGCAAACTGGTCCAGTCCTTAGGAAAGTAATTTGGCAAAACTTATCAAAAGCCATCAAACATCCATCCCCAACTCAGAAGAGAGTCTCAAATGTTATGTCCATCCCAACGGTATTTAGGATAGAAAAGAGAAAAAGAGGAAGGAGGGGAAAATCAACATATAATTGAGGTCTCCATAAGGGCATATCCTCTAGTGAAATATCCTGATTGAACCAGAATACTGGTTGGGTGTGGCAGCTCACACCTACAATCCCAGCCCTTAGAGGACAAGGTAGGAAGACTACTGTGAGTTCAAGACCACCCTGACTAACAGTTAAGTTCCAGGATAGCCTGGGCTACAGAGTGTGACCCTGTCTCAAAGCAAGGCCAAATAGAGCAGTTTACACTTTTAATCCCAGAACTAGGAAGGCAGCAGCAGGTGGATCTCTGTAAATCTGAGGCCAGTCTGGTCTACAGAGTAAGTTCTAGGCCATCCAGGCTACAGAGTAAGACCCTGTCTCAAACAAACAAACAAAAAACAATTCTAGCACTGCAAAATAAATAGATAAATAAATAAATAAAACATGACTTAGACCCTGCTGTTTATAGGAGCTGGGTGGCTCTCTTTTTTGTGTGTTTGTTTGTTTTTTGTTTTTTCAAGACAGGGTTTCTCTGTGGCTTTGGAGGCTGTCCCGGAACTAGCTCTTGTAGACCAGGCTGGTCTCGAACTCACAGAAATCAGATCCCCTGCCTCTGCCACCCGAGTGCTGAGATTAAAGGCGTGTGCCACCACTGCCCAGCTGACCCTTTCTTGTATTAATCATAGTAATTATACCCAACTCCCCAAGCTCCTTCCTAGAGAAAAAAAAAAACTGAAAGTACCAAAATACTGGCTGGTGACTCTCCCAGAAATGAGTTAACATTTTCCTACCATTGGGCTTTTTGTTTGTTTTCAATGACTTTTTCGGTATTTATTTTAAATTTTAATTTGTGTGTGTGTGTGTGTGTGTGTGTGTGTGTGTGTGTGTGTGTGTGTGTGTATGTGTGTAGGTACAGTTATGTCATATATGGGAGGAGGCCTCCGGGACCAGATGACGGTGACAGGGCTCCTGTCACTGGAGTTGCAGGCACTGTGAGTTGCCCCACTTGAGCACTGGACCCTCACCTGGACCTCTGGAAGAGCAACAAGAACTCCCCAGCACTGAGTCCCTCCCCGCCCCCCTTTGGTTAGTTGTTGCTGTTGCTCTCCTATTTTAACACATTATCCCCACTATGACAAGCATGGCTTTTAGAATGGAAAGAGAAAAGGTGACATATGTATGTCTGCACATTGTGACCCTCTACAGGACTTTTCTCTCTCCAATTAGCCAAGCGTCATCGTTCTGGTAGGGCTGCCAAGTGAGGGCCATCTAACCACGGGCACAGGATCCCTCTTCTGGGCCTCGGGTCGCCATTGTTTTTATTTGTAGAGGAGGGTTATGGGTGTACTTCCCCTTAGGGTTATCAGCAATCAGGAACGACTTTGAGGTAAGGGCTGAGATTCCTCCCCACACAGGGAAACCGAGGCAAGGGTACAGGTTTCGCATCTGAGGTCAAAGACGGGGATTCATGGAGGCCCAGGCTCAGATCTGGCAGGATGCCGAGTTACTCGGGACAAACGCCACGTAATCTTCACGCCAGCGGCCTGTGCTGAGCACAGCCAGAAGAGTCAGTGCTGTAGCTGGGTAACCCTGTCCTCAGCAGGGCAGCTCTCGGACTTCCATCTCACAGAGCCCTGGTGTCCCATCCACACGGATGCCCTCAGGGTCACCGTGTGCGTGGGGAAGACTGAGTGGGATATGGAGGGAACCGGGGACTGCGGGGAACTGCCATACCTTGCAACTGCTGCAGCAGCAAAGCTCTTTGCAGCACGGAGCCATTGAGCAGGGAGGCCGAGTGGGTGGCCTGGAGATTCAGAAGCTGTTGCGGGGATGCCTGCTGGGGGAGGCCCCTGTGTGACGGGAGCAGGGGCTATCAGACCAGTTGTTGGGAAAGCCATCCACCTGAAGACCCCTCGCCTCCGTTCTCTCCCTCTCTATGGCAGGTGGGGGGTCCCCTCCAAGGTGGGGACTGATGACATTTAGTATTCAAACAAGGCTGCCTCTGGGAGGAGCTGGTCTGTCAAACACGGATCTGGGTGTCAGACCGCAGCCTCCATTCTCCTGAGTGGGAAACTCACCGGCTGACAGGTATGGGCAAGGGGGTCTGTGGTGAGGGCTGCTGTAGCAGCTGTTGGAGCTGCAGCAATTGCTGCTGTTGCTGCAACTGCTGCTGCTGGAGCTGTTGCTGCTGCAGCTGCTGGAGCTGTTGCTGCTGCTGGAGTTGCTGGTTGAACATGCTTGCTGAGAGAAGGAAGGTGAGTAAGGTCAGCTCACCACCCTGGGTCAATCCAGCTCCCGGATGCCCTCCCAAAGCACCCATCCTAGCCCACGGATGCATACTGTAGGCTACACCGCACGGCTACACACTCCAGCCCTGCCAAGGGCATGCCACCTTTGGACCCGGGTGCTTCCAGCTCTGGTCAGCTGTCAAGGACAGAATACACACGAACACTCTTGCTTTTAGACCTCTATCTCCGCTCCCATCTCTTCAACTCTGGTGGCTCCACCCTTCCAACCCAAGTACACGTTCCAGCCCCCAGTCCCCCCCACTTCTGCCTCTCTCCCTACTCATCACTTCCTGGCGCCAGCACCTCCCCACCCACACCTCCCGGTTTTGGATTCCGCTGCCCTCTCCCTATGTTGTGTCAATGACATCAGCACCCACGCCCAGTCTTCCACGTAAATCCGTGAAAACCTGGACAGGAAAATCTTCCTTCCGCTACAACACAACCCTGCGTCCCTCCACCGGCCCTCAGCCCTCCACGCCCTTCCCCCGCAGATATATCCAACACCAGGTATCGGATCCTGTGGCCTCGCCTGTCCACAAAGCCTGAAGCCTCCAAGCAGTCCACCCTCCCTCCCTCCCTCCCTCCCTCCCCGGGGGCCCAACCCTCCATTGAGGCTTCGAGGGCGAGCGCCGCGCAGGCTCCCCTAACCTCTCAGCTATCCACGAAGGCGGAAGACGGGAAAGCCACGCACGGACTTAGCGGCGCGGGCTCGCGGGCTCCTCGGGACCCGGCTGTGGCCTGGACATTCGGAAGGCCCGGCGGCTGGCCAGTCCTGCGCACAGCGCCCTCTGCAGGACCGGAGGCCTCACCGCGGCCTCCGCCGCCGTGGGAAAGCCGGCTTCGCGCGCAGGTCTCGCCGCGGGCACTGCCGCCGCTCATCAGTGGCTAGAGCCGCGGTGGCTGCCAGCTGCGAGGAGGCGCGGGGCAGCGCGTACTCCGGGTCCTCAGGCCTCGGCACCGGGAAGGGGTGATTCTGAGCTCCCAGGGCCGTCTGTTTTTCCGGCAGGGGCATGGCGGAGGACTTCTAGGAGGGTCAGTTCCCGACTGACTTGCCGAGGCCGCCACTGTCAGGCGATCCCGAGCCCGTGTGGGGCTGGGACCGGAGCGAAAATGCTAATTTAGAATGCGGGCGTGAAAGGAGCGGTGTGTGTGTGTGTGTGTGTGTGTGTGTGTGTGTGTGTGAGAGAGAGAGAGAGAGAGAGAGAGAGAGAGAGAATTCAGTTTTTTTAGTCTTGTTTTTCAAAGATTTATTATATACACACATATACATGTACATGTACATATGATGCATCCTGAAACTAGAGTTAACGAACGTTTGTGAACCGTGTTGTAGGAATTGAACCCAGGTCCTCTACGCTCTGTAGTCCAGGCTGGCCGCGATGTCTCCCGAGTGCTGGGATTAAAGGCGTGCGCCACCACCTCCCGGGTGCGACGAATGTTCTTAACCACAGAGCAAACTCTCCAGTTCCTGGTTTTCTTTTCTGTTTCATTACACAGCAGTGGCTGACCTGGAACTCACTCTGTAGGCCAGACGGGCTTCGAACTCACAGAGATCCTCCTGCCTCTGCTCCCAGTCCTGGCCCAGTTAAAATTCCCTTTAATGGCTCTCACCCTGCCCCTAGAAGGGTTTAGATATCTCATCCCAAGTAGCTCTGGCAATCTCCCCCTCCCAGGATCATCCCCGCACCTTGCAGCCGCGCAGACTTCGAGGACTGGCCGCACGGTGGCGCTAGATACCTCAGACACCAAATCAACCCTTGCTGCAGTCAGGTGACTGCGCCGATCGCTAGGCTCTGGACTGGGCGTTCTCACGGCACCTGGACCTACCTGTTGAGCAGCAGTCGGGGCTGATTGCGCTAACGTGGCCCAACCTGGCGCGAGGATTGGCTGGGGGGATGCGCGTTTGGATGGTGGGGCTTAAGACGTCGAGCTGAGAGGATGGGTGGGCGGGCTTCAGGACGTCCTTGCAGGACAGGGGTATTTGGGAAGGGAGCGGGTGACAGGAGTTAAGTCAGAAAACGCTTGTAAACCCGGCACACGGGAGGCAGAAGCTGGAGGCTCGCTAGTTCCGGGTTAGGCTAACCGGGGCTGCACAGCAAGATCTTGGGTCAAAATGACATTATTATTTTAAAGTACAAGAAAACGCATTCTGGCCAGGTCGGGCATACTGGCTCCAGCCTATAATCTTCATGCAGAGCCAGCCGGGACTAGTGAGACTCTATGGCAAACAAACAAACAACAAATCTGCAGCCCGGTGGGAACCCAGGCGCAGGAAGTGAAGGAGTCAGGGTCTCCTTTGCCTGAAGGTCTGGAGGAGTCCTCTCAGCTGGTTTCTTGATCTGCAAAATAAGTGTCCCCTCCTGTAGGTGTGTGTGAAGATGACATTACATAATACTTAGCACTGACGCCGGCACACGGCGAGCTTAGCTAGTTGCTAAAGTGAAAACACTAAAAATAATGCTGGTGCTGGCGAAGATGGGAAGCCAGCGCGAGCTGAGTGCGCACGCGCACCTTTCAGGCACGCACCTGCCAAGGGTTTATCAAGGCTCCAGAACACCCTTTGCCCCTTGACCGACTAACCCCCTCGTAGGAATATAGCCAGGAAAACGATCAGAAAAGGGACTTTAAAAGCCAGCAGGCTGGAAAACAGTCAACTTCGGCGGGAAAAACTAAATAGGTCATAGTGTCTGCAGCTTAAATAGGAAGCGCACAGCCATCAAAAATTAGATTTTCAAAGGATATTAAAACAACACGACATAGTGTGAACTCAGCAGATTCTCAAATTCCATACACATTATGAGATGAGCTTCGTGGGGGCCGGGGATAACCGTGGGTAGTGGGCTCGAGGAGATTTTCACTTCCCCTTTTTTTTTTTAACTCCCTAATTTGCAATAGTTGGTTTGGATGACTTCTTGATCACGGGAAGAAAGGTTTTCTTTTTTTGTTCCTTTCCTTTTTTATTTATTTATTTATTTATTTATTTTTGGTTTTTTGAGACAGGGTTTCTCTGTATTGTATTCTCTGGAGGCTGTCCTAGCACTCGCTCTGTAGACCAGGCTGGTCTCGAACTCACAGAGATCCGCCTGCCTCTGCCTCCCTAGTGTTGGGCCCCAGCCCCATGGGGTCTCTGTGAGTTGCTGGTCAGCCTACAAGTGCAACTTGTTTTCCAGTCCAAGTGCTTTCTGTTTTCTAGTCCTGGCTTACTGCCCTGGCCTTGACCCTCTGACATCAACATCTAGCAGGAGGAAAACAACGATCTCTTCTACCTGGGGTTTTTCCACTGTGCTGTAAACCTGTATATAAAGCTCCTCCCTCTTACAAGAGAGAGACCTCTTAGCACTTGCAATGAAGACACACACACACACACACACACACACACACACACACACACTCTCCTGGCAATAAAGGCAACATGTGCATTCTCTTAGTACAAACAAATGGACGTCTTGTCTCTCTTTTCCTGATACCTTGGAGTTGCTTGTGGCGCTGGCGCCACAATTGGAGGTTCCACACCCTAGTGCTGGGATTAAAGGCGTGCGCCACCAACGCCCGCCTTTTTTTTTTTTTTTAATGTGTATGATCTCGAACCTTGAAGGTCAGCTAAGGCCATTGGTTGGAGGACTCTGGGTTTACTTTTGGGGGCTAATTGTCTTTGTTATTTTTACCCTGTTTTAAATTTTTTAGGTTTACTTTATATGCTTTGCTCACGTGTATGTCTGTGCACCACACATGTGCCTGGTGCACACAGACGTCTTAGGAAGGTGTTGTGTCCCCTGGAACTGGAGTTATGGACAGTTGTCATCTGCCATGTGGCTGCTGGGGAGAGAGCCTGGTTCCTCCAGCAAGAGCAAGTGCTTTTAGCTGCTGAGCCATCTCTCCAGGCTTACCCAGAGTTTTTCAGGTTAATAATGAGGTCAACCCAGGAAGCGTCTCATGCCTGTAATCCTAGCACCCTGGAGGCAAGGACTGCTGTAAATTCAAAGCCAGACCTGTCCAGATAGAGCAGGGTTCCCAACCTTCCTAACGCTGCGAACCCTTGTACCGCTCTCCATGTTGTGGTGACTCCCAGGCATTAAATTATTTGCTACTTCATAACTATTAGACCCAAGAAGAAATCTGGTCCCACAGGTTGAGAACCACTGCGGTGGTGAGTTCTAGGCCAGACAGAACTACATAAACAAGACCTTCTTTATTGCCGCCGCCGCCGCCGATGGTGATGAACTGAGGATATAGTTCAGCTAGTAGCGTGCTTGTCCAACAAGCCCCAAAGCCCTGGACCTCAATCCAGCGCTGCAGAAAGCCAGGTGCTGTGGCACATGCTTGCAATCCTAGCGCTTGGGGGTGAAGGCAGAAGGGTCAGAAGTTCAAGGTTATCCTCAGAGTTCAAGGCCGGCCTGGTGGTGACGCTGGCAGTACTAATGACAGTGTCTGGTTCCTGAAGTCTGCGCTGTCTTAGTTCGCAGACTCCCCCATACAAGCACCTGTGTAGTTTCTATGGCGGCTCCTGTCACCATTTTCTGCGTGGTCACTGACCCCACATGGCATCTTCGTTTTGTGACCTGCTACCTCCTCAGCTTACATTATTTCTATCCCCAGTGACGCCATGTGCCTCCAGATGGCAAAAGAAGCTGCCGAATTGTCCCCATGTCCTTGAGACCCCCCCCCATCGCACTTGTGAGAGTCAGTTAAATGAATGGGTGAATGAATGAATAACTCCAGTACATGAATTCAAGTGCTTCCCCCCGTCTCCTGGGTGATGGTTCTCAGAGCAGGTCTTCCTTGCTTGACATTCACACCTATCCTCCTACAGAGCAGACTGCAGCCAGGCGTCCAGCATGGCAAGCCAACAAGGACGGCAAGGTGGGCCTGCCACCTGCCAGCCCAGCTCCGAATTCCTGGGGAACCGGCCACGCACGGCAGGAGCTCCACACTGGGCAGGAGGCAGGACAAATGAGACTGTGTGTCTCTCATGTGACCTTCCAAGTGACTGCCGCCCACTTGTACCCCTTCCACGGTAAGAGAGGACAGAGTGGTGGTGAGCTGGATGTACACAGCCTTGTGTCTGTCCCCGCTGTCCGGAGCAAGCATACTTCTGATTTGGGCCCTTGATTTGGTCATTTCTGCTGGACAGAGCTGACTTGTTGGTGACAGCCTCTCCCTTCCCACACACCTTGTCATGGCATCCAGCCATCCCCTCTTCTACCTTCCTAAGACTCAAGGGTCCCCCTGGAGAGTGCAGTGTGTGGGAGGTGCTGCTTACATTGCTTCTCTACCCAAACTCGCTTCGGATTCTGCAAATCAGGGGCTTTATTATCCATCCTGTTTTAGAATTACAGACGCTGAGGCTCCCAGAGGTGAAGTGACTTGCTCCATGTCATCAGGCCACAAAGCAGTATGTCAAGAATGTACATAAAACCCCAGACTATTGGCTCCATCTGTCCCCAGTGCAGAATCAGCAACAATGTGGGGCCCCCTCCTGGCTCCTGGAGAGTAACTCTCCATGGAATGGGCAAATGCAGACACCTAGACCAGCAACTCCCCCAGACCCCAAGAATGCCTCTGTGCCCAGTCTCCCAGTCCTAAAGAATAGGCCACTATGCAAGCCCCAGCCTGACCCAGGGGCTTCCCCTACAGTGCCCCACCCTGGGTGCCTGTCTTAGGGTTTCTATTGCTGTGAAGAGACAGCATGACCCTAGCAACTCTTATGAAAGAAAATATTAATTGGGGCCATCCATTGTTGTCATGGTGGGAATCATATTGGTATATATGCAG